TCTTTCCCTTTTTCACAGCCATTTATTAGATTCCTCTGTTGATGGCCTCCTTCCCTTTTCTATTGGATTGTGTAAGACTGATTGCTCAAGGAACCCAAAAGAGATAGAGAGAAATTCATCTCTGAAATTTTCTCTTCCTTGGTTCGATTTTTCATCATCTGGTTCTTCTTGTTTTCCATTTTTTTTACGAATTTTCACTCATGAGATTTTCTGGGTTTTTGTTTGGCTTGTGTTAGTTCTTCTGCAGAAAATCTGTCTGGGTTTTTACTTGCAGAGAAGCCTTGTTGATACCCAGTTTGTGTATATTCCATTTATAGCTTGATAATAACAACGATCATTAATTTCTTTCCGAAATCTCTTGTTCTATCTATAAATCTCTGCCTGGCAATTTCCCCCGTGAACAAGTTCTATAAATATTAATATTCAAAGGAAAAAGGGAAAAAAACAAAAAGAGAATATGGGGAAGCAAGGGCCGTGCTATCACTGTGGAGTTACGAGTGAGTTCTTGTCTCTCCAATTTCGATTCCATGTCAAGAAATTGGCCCAGATATTGATTTTCCGCCTTCTCAAATGTTTTGTGTACTTTTCCTGGGGAAATGGCCCTTTTATCTTGGGGCTGGTTACAAGTTGCTGTATGCTTTGATGAACATTTATACGATTATTACATCTGGAGAGAAACGCCGATTGATTGTGCGAAGTTATAACCACAACATGTCTTTAGTTGTGTTGTGTATAGTTTTGTTGGCTAATGGATTGGGCTCTAAGAACACATGTTTCTGCGTTCCTCTGTGTATTGCTGAGTCCGTTCTGGTTTTTCTCACTTTGATTTGAGCAATACATGTCTGCGTGTCAATGGCTGTGAACCCAGATGGAGGCAATGCATTGGAAAAAACACGAATTTGGTGTCGGAATTTGAGTCTATTATGTTCATTTATAATGAATTCACAACCCAATTGTCTGAATTAGCTCTGACTCGGGTTTAAATTCTGGATCAATTTTTTGTTTAGAGATCATTGATCTTCCTGGGGCTAAAGCTTTGTCAGATACATGAAGAGTAGTCCTCTGTATGTATGGAGAATGGCTTGTGAAATAAATGTGTGATTTAGTTGAACTTTGAATTGCCACTCTTTGCAATTTAACTTCTGTGCTGATAAAAGGCATTGCAGAAGTTCTCTGCTATATTGATGTCAACTCTAATATGATGGACATGTCCATGGCTCCCTTTTTGTTCTTCAGGATTTAGAGACTTTGATTCAGATTTTTATGTTTTTAACTCCCCATTTGGAAATTGAGATTATTTAGTACACTTTCCTCGTGTGTTTAAGCTTACGTAATACGCACTAATCGGCATATCTGCTCAGTTATTGTTAATCCATAATGTCGTGTGTTTTTGCAAAAGGTACGCCTCTCTGGAGGAACGGGCCACCAGAGAAGCCGGTGCTATGCAATGCATGTGGATCGCGGTGGAGAACAAAGGGAACATTGGCAAACTACACTCCACTTCATGCTCGTGGTGAAGCTGAAGAGAATGAGGATCACAAGGTTCAAAGGTTAAAGAGCATATCTGTAAATAAGACCAACGAAACAAAGATGGTCAAGAGGAAAGCCGATCAAGAAAATGTCATCGTTAAAAAGGTTTCATCAGGATTCAAGAAGGTGATAGACGAGGATGCTAGTAATAGATCAAGTTCTGGGTCGGCTATATCAAACTCTGAGAGCTGTGCACAGTTTGGAAGTGCAGATGGGAGTGAGTTTACAGGTTTGATTCCCTCTGCTATTAATACCAAGGGCTGCACACATTTTTGAGCATATAAGATATCTTCTGGCCCGAGTTTTAGATTCATGTTATTTTGCTCTTTAACTAACTAGGTGGTCTTTAAAGCGACTCCTCAGTGCCCATCTGCCCTCTTTTTCAGGTCCAGCGCAGTCTAACGTGTGGGACACATCCGTTCCTTGCAAGAGGAGGACATGTGTGGGCCGACCAAAGTCATCTTCTGTTGAAAAGCTCAGAAAAGACCTCTACAATATTCTACAAGAGCAGCAATCATCGTGTTTCTCTGGTTCATCTGAGGAGGATTTGCTTTTCGAGAATGAAACACCGATGGTTTCAGTTGAAATAGGACACGGGAGTGTTCTAATGAGGCATCCCTACTCGGTTGCTCGGGAAGAGGAGTCTGAAGCCAGCTCGCTCTCAGTGAATGAGGCTCACTCACACTCCGTGAAGCCTATTGGCAATGGAGCTGCAAAAGCTCCAGACTTTGGTGGACAAGCAATTCAGCAGG